GGAAGTGGGGTTGGGGGTGGGTCTGGGGGGGGGCAGGGGTGGGTGTGAAGTCTCTGTCCTCCTAGCCAGAAATACCAGCCCCTCCACAGGACCCAGTTGCACTGAAGTTGGCCCGTAGAGGGGTGGGTGACCCGTATGCTGTGCCCAGTTGCCTTCTCCATGCCTGCAGCAGCCAGGCCTAGCTCCAGCTCCAGGATGTGCCTGGAGCCAGGGGCCAGCCCGCCGGGCCTGCCGTGCAGCCATGCAGCCATGCAGCCATGCAGCCATGCTAGGGGTTGGATGAGTCAGGCAGAGCTCAAGCTACTCCCTTCTGTCCCCATGCGTAGGAGTCCGTGGACTGGCTGGGGGATTACAACGAGCCCCTGACAGGTTTCTCCTGGCGCGGGGGCTCTGAGCGCGAGACGACCGGCATTCAGATCTGGAGCGAGCTCTTCCTCGTGGACAAACCGGATGGGAGAAAGGTAAGCAGCTTGCCCTACCTCGTGCCTGCTGTTGGTTGCAGGCCCCTTTGATTACCTAAGCTTCTCCGTGGGTGCCTGGCTTTGCCCTGGGTGGGTGAAGGGGCTGCACATCCTCTAGAGAGGCTGCATGCCTGCTGCAGCTCCGATCTTCCTGACGCCCCATGACAATGGGTCTAGGAGCCAGCACGTATCCACCTGGAGGCACCACCCTGCTGCCCTCGGGAAAACCACGGCTGTCGGCTGCATCCAGGGCGTTGCTGCCGGGAGACAGGACTGGCCGTGGAGCGGAGCCTCTTCCTTCCCTGCAAAACCCATCCCAGACAGCAGCAAGGCCATTCATTCTCGCCCAATCTTCAGTGAAGAGCCCAACACAGCCGCACCACTAAATTATTGATCCCACAATTTGTAATGCTAGCCACATGTTTTTAGGATCAGGAGAGATGTGGTTGTGTTCGTCTTTGAAGCCAACGGGGTTCATGGGAAAACCCACCCAGAGCTAAAGGAGATGGTTTTGAAAACGTCCCTCTCCTGCTTTCAGGCTGTCGTTCAGCAGTTTTACCCCCGTGCCACAACTCGCTGCCTGTAGGAGCCGGTGCACTAGCAGAAATGAATGGGCAGGAGCTTCTTTCTCTGGCCCCTCCTGCTTCAATTATTGCATGGGGCAAGCGACCATGATTAACGCGTTGTTTTTACCCCTGCGGATACCCGGTCCTGGAGATTTCTGCTGCCGGCTGATGTGGGATTCTCTGCCCCGCAGGTCGCCGTGCTGCTGATGGATACGCAGGGGACATTTGACAGCCAGTCCACGCTGAGGGACTCTGCCACGGTGTTCGCCCTTAGCACGATGATTAGCTCCATACAGGTAACACGGAGCTGATCCACAGCACCACTTTGGTGGGGAGGGGCTGCACAAAACGCTTGGCATGGGCTTCGCTCTGCTTCCAGCTGCCTGGAGAACGCCAGGGCTGAAAATCCCATTTGGGGGATTTTTTCCTGCTCGGGATTTGGAGGACAGATGGAGGAAAGGGAAGAAGAGGGAGGGAGGGAGGGGCGCTCTGTAACGTCTCTTCTGTGCTGGAACCTCCTCCAGGTCACGAACACGGTGGTCTCGGGCGCCACCTTGCCCAGCTCACTCAGGGAGACCCCAGTCTACTTTGCAATGTGGCTTTCCTGGCAGAGAGAGCAGGGATGTGGCTGGCACTGGGCAGTGCCTTTCCCCAAGGGGTGCCTGGCTGAGATGTGCCCCAGGACCCGCTGGACTTGACAAGTGTGCCAAGCATTTGGTGCCCTCGTCTTGCAGCAGGGTCTGGAGACGTTTTGCCCTGCACAGGGTTGGCAGCAGAGGGATGCATTCATCCCTGGCGTTGAAGAGGAGAGCTGGGGGAAGGTGGCCTGGAGGAAGTAGCTGTATGCCAGCTCTGCTGACTTCAGGCTCCTCTGACAAGAGAAACCCTCCAACAAGATATACTTATCATGGCCCGGGTGGCCTGCTGGCCTGTAGAGAAACCAGCACTGTCCCTGGGAGATGAGAGGGGGTGAGGGAGCCAGGCTAAGTGGGTGTGCTCTGGTACCAAGGTCAGGACACCGCAGGAACAGGAGAAAGGACCTGCCATCTCCCTCCAGGGACCTCAGACCATGGCTACCCGCCACCCCCAGGAGACCTGGCCCCGTGCATGGGGGTGGGATGAGGAGGGGTCCTCCCATCACTCTGTCGCATCGTGGGACAGCAGCCGCTCTCCCGCGGCACTGGCTCCGTGGCTGTGGGAGGTTGTAGGGCAATCTTGTACAGTGCCGTGCGCCATGGCTCCCCAGCCTGGCATGGCAGACACCGTGGCAATGCCAGTCATTTAATCATCATTACAAAGCAGCCTATAGCCAGGCTGCCTGACCTGCTGCCTGCAGGGAACGGGCCGCTTCCAGCCAGCTGATGCCTCTGTTTTAAAACCCAGGTCTACAACCTATCGCAGAACGTCCAAGAAGACGACCTTCAGCACCTGCAGGTAACGCCTGCCACCGCCCCGCGGCCGCGCCTGCTGGGGGAGAAGGGGTGCTTAATGCTTCTCGCTGCTGCTCCTGAAAGGAGGGCTCAGCTGTAGAGCAGCAAAAGGAGCTCGTGGAGGCCCTTATGCCGGTCTCGGGGTTATTGCTGTTGAATTAATGGATGCAGGGGAGCAGTCTCCCAGGAGCAGCCCCTGCTTTCTGTAAGCACGCCTGCTTGGCGTCCGATTCACCTGGCCGAGGAGCCAGCAGCAGGGCTTCCCAGCCCGGGAGCAGGACCGGGTCTCCATTATACTGGCAGATGGCAGGGCCAGGGGGAGGCTGAGATTTATGGGCATCTTGTTTGAGGGTGCGTGTGAAAAGCCTCGAGGTGGGAGGTGGGGGAGTCCGTGCTGTGCATCTGCCTTGGCAAGCTGGGTGGCTTTCTGCACCCTTGATGCCCGGGTGCCAGTCTCTTGCTGGGCGTCCTGTTGCTGATCTGAAAGGGGGCCTGAGGTGCTGGGGTTTTGCGGCTGGACTCCATATTCGGGGAGGCAGAGGCCTGCGGGATTGTCCTTGAGATATTTGCAGCTGCCTCTCAGCCAACCAGACACAAAGCCACGTGGGGAGCTGGGGCTGAGACCCGGCGTCACCGCTGCTCTGCACTGTCCTGCAGCAGCTCGCTGGCTCTGCAAGGATATTGCTAGCAACCTGCCAGGGCTGGAGGGAAGTAGGGAGTCTGTTCACTGGGTTCCCGGTGTGTAGCAGTTCTCTGTCCCTGGCAGGGTTTTACACAGCCGCCCCTCCCCGCCGTGCCTCCCACCACTGATCTGCCCCGCAGGTCAGCGTTGTGACAGGGCAGCAAAAGCCTGATTTGGAAAAGTCTCCTGGGCAGAGAATGGGAGAAGATTTGCACTTATAGACTAACTAAATCAGAGATGCAGCAGCAGCTTTCATAAGCAGTAGCTTACTTATGCTATAAGGGAGCGGTTCTCAAACTTTTTTGTACCAGGACCCATTTGTAAACACCAATGGCCAGTCCCGACCCAGTGCCCCCCAGACCCCAATCCCCCAGTGTGGGGGACTGGGGGGTTATGATAGTTTAGTTCAGGGAACGGGATAAGAATCGACAGCCCCTGTTTGGACCACACTTAACACAGTCCAGACTGGGGATGATTTCTTGCTCTGCAGTTTCCCACTCAAGTTGGTTTTTAAAGTTTTGTGCCTGGAGGTCATCCATGGGGTGCCCAGGGAGGTTATAAAATGTTCGGCTTGTGTGCCTTCCTGGAGTCGACCTCAGAGCGGTATTTATTCACTCTTTCCCATGGGGATCGCCCTGCGTGTCCACTGCAGACAGCAGAGGGGCACAAGCAGGTGCTGGTGAATGAACCTCAGATGTTATAGTCCACGCGGTTTAGGCCAGCGAGGATGTGGTCTGTGTGGATGAGGGGGCACGGCTGGCATCTGGATCTGGAGTGGGAACCGGAGTTAGGAAGCCTTTTGCTTGAGAGAGGCCATTTGAGGTTGAGGGGGCTACCTATAGGCCAGGATAAGTCCCCTGTGGCTACCTTGAGGTGACTGCCATTTTCCAGGAGGAGTTGGAAGTCATTAATGATGCACCAGAGGAGGTTACGGTGGAGGCCGTAGCTTGCAAGCAGAGGTCTCCTCCTGCCCTTGTCCCGGGGTTGGTATCGGAGCAGGTGGGAGCTGGGGCTGAGTCTGGCTCTGCTGATCTGAGTGGTCAGACTGTAGAAACTGCGAGGACAGATGCAGGAGCTGTTTCCATGACTGCTTGCTCACCTGTCTGGGTATCAGCTCTCCAGCCTTGTCCACAATCACTGGGAAGTTGAAGATTAAAATTGCACAGCACATTTACGCAGCAAATTTTGTACAGCAAATTCTCCTCCCAGTGTTTGAAAGAGCCCCAAAGAATGGGACAGATGCTGCTGGTTTATAACTGCAGACATTGGGACTCTTGCGTATGCTGCATCGCAGGTGAGCCTGGCTTGGCTAAATCCTGGAATCGTGGCCCCGCTTATCTACTAACTATGGGAATATTTTGCTAACGATGCCCTGTCCTTTGCTTATGTTTTGTGCATTTGAAATGTCTTAGTTGTTTTTAAATAAGTTAAAAAAATAAAGAGACAGGAAAGCAAGAATTTTTCTGGGGGAAAAAAAAAATCCAAAGAGCATTTGGATGATTTCCACCTTGTCTCAGCCAGTCCCCTTTGCAAGGCAAATGTCTGCGGAGGGGGTTTTAAAACAGTGCTGTTTATTGTACGTGGCACGGCTGCGGGGGGTTAGCCACGACAGTCTACCATGTCGATCCATTTTTAGGCACCTGCAAAATAGCAGATTGTCCTCCGATGAGAAATAACAGCCCTGAGAGGCTGGAGAACTTCCAGATCTGGCTGCTCTGCTAAAAAAAACCCCCAACAGCCCCTCCCAACCCTTTCTCTCACTGCGTGTTAGATCTCCTCCTACCATCTGTTCAGTGGAAGTGTGCGAGCTGCAGCTCTCGAGGGTCAGCGCCCCTTGCTGAATCCCGGTCCCATCTGTGCTCAAAGCACTCGAGGACGCCCCGCCTGCCGCTCTCCGCCGGCGCCCGCGAAGCTCTGGGCAGTGCAGCACAATCAAGCAGCTGCCTTCATCCCTTTATATATACTCTTTCTAACACCGGTTTGGCAACAAAAATTTCCAGGCAGAGACCGTGCACATCAGGTGATATTTATAGCTGCTTTATAGGCCTCTAAAATGCAAGCAGAAAATGCATGCTTCAGCAGACCTTAATGGCAGCGGTGCCCGTGACACCGTTAGCCCCAGAAGCAGGAACCGCGTGGGATCAGCCGCGCTTCCAGGGACCGTGGGTGTTGCTTTGTAGGTTTAGAAACTGAAAGGCTGATTGATGTTTTGCTTCTTGCTCCAGCTCTTTACAGAATATGGCAGGCTGGCCATGGAGGAGACGTTCCTGAAACCCTTCCAGGTGAGTAGCACGAAGCTTGCGATGAACATGGGCTGTCTCCCCCCGCCCCGGCTCTGCTGGGAGCCTCTTGGCATCACCACCAGGTGTCACTGCCGTTTGCATTATGGGAAGAAAAGCAGCCAGAGAAAATCAAACTGGGGAGAATTTGCTGAGCTGTGGCATAAAAGAAAGGCTTCTTGTTCCTTCACCCGCCGGGTGACTGCTGCAGTCCATGACAGCCGCCAAGATCTCTCTTCCTTCCCCATTTAAATTTGCCTGACAACCCCTCAGGGCTGCCCCATCTTTCTGGATCAGATGGGAGTGATTGACAAGCCCATGGCCCATGCGAGGAGCTGCTCTGAATGACGAAAGGCAGGTGAAAGCTAGTGCGGGGCCCTGCTTGAGCCCCTCCAGGCCCTGTTTTAAGGATGCAAGCGTTGTACAGGCCTCAGGGTATATTTCTGCAGTGGCTGGGCTGTATTTCTTGCAGCCCCCCAGGCCAGGGAAGGAGAAGGCAGGGACAGAATCGCAGCCAGGGCTTTCCAGGGTGCAGGGCAGGCCGGGTGATGCAAGGTGCTGGGGGAGGTTAGACTGCTTGATGGACATCCCCATGCCATCCATGGGTAGGGCTGTGGCACTGACCAGCTATGGACCATGCTGATGTCCCCAGTCACTGACTGCCCGGGGAGGTTTGGCTGCTCTGCAGGGCCTGGGAAACCTTCTCCCAAGGGATGCTGGCTGGGGGCACAGCTGGATGGGAAAGACCATGGGAAGGGAGGCTGCCATTACAGAGCAGGGGCAGTTCCCTTCTCCCTGCCGTTTCCCACGGCCCTGCTCAGACGGAGACCATCAGCTGCCCCGTCTCTCTGCAAGAGCTGGCAGGTGATGCTGGAGGAGCCAGGGGTCCAGGGGAGCGGTACAAGCCAGGAAGCAAAGAGGAATGAACACAAAGAGCAGACGAGGCTGCAAGAAGAAAGAGCCATCAGGCACCTCCGGCAGATGCTAATAATGGCTCGTTGGCTCTTCTGAATACAGGCCTCAGCGCAAGAGCCTGTACGAGCACAGCTGATTTAAACTGATCAGCAAGAAGGCGAAGGGGTGGCCTGCACCGTCTCCCAGGACAGCCATGGGGAAGAGCTTGCGAGGGCAGGCTGCTTTTTTAACCTCGCAGAGGAAGGCGCAAGGAAAACGCATGGCTGGAAGCTGTAGCGAGGCAAAGGTAGACCACAAAGAAGCTGCAAATGGTAACTAACCATTGGAGCAGCTAGCTCGGGGCACGGGAGCCTGGGCATCAGGACCCCAGAGCTGAATAAGCACCAGGCGGCACCCCCGCCTGAAGCAGTGGGCTGGAGGCAGAGATGCCGGGGGGAGGGACTGTGATGTGGATTAAGCAGAAAGCCAAGTGAGATGATCTGAACAGTCACTTCTGGCCTTAACATCCAGGAATCTGCGAATGAATCAGCTGCTGCAGGAAAGTACTGCCAAGCGATGAGTGGTAGTGAGTTGCCTGCACTGGATCACTGCTTTTGGGCAGGGCATGATCCTTGGCAGTGGAAAGGTTAAGCCCCCTCTATCCCTTGATCACACCAGCGCTGAACCGTAGTCACCCGCCCTCACTGTGTGAAAGTCTCTGGGAGATGCCTTAGCAAAGGCTGCCGGAGCCGCAAGACCGATGGGTGCATGGTGGGGCGCAAGGAGCAATAGGCCTGATCAGGGCTGCAGCAAGCCAGGACCACTTGGCTGCAAGCACAAGGACCTGGAGAGCACAGGGAGGGGAAGGGACCAGCGAGCAAGGCTCTGACTGGACAGGCACGTGCATGAACGCCTGGACATGTCTCTCTAAAAGCCATGCATTATGGAGAGAGAAAGAGGGAGCGCTCTCATTAAAACTGTACTTTAGGCAACAGCCATTTCGCCCCTGCAGAATGCCAGGTTGGCACCCGCTCCTTCATCCGTAAGAACAAACCTGGCATTTCTGCATAGACAAAGACGTGCCTCCCCGAGTCCTGGTCACAGCCCCACTGGCAAAGGTACATGTGGGGTGAAGTAGACCGGGAGCACACGACTGGCACTGAAAAATCTCTCTGAACAAACAGGATCCCTTGACCGCGCCGGTACGGGTTTCTTTGTGGAGCAGAAAACGTGGGCACCCCAAGAAATGAAACCCCCCCAGCGCTTTCGTCTTTGTCCGCTCGTTGTGCATGTGTTTCCCATTAGAAGTCAGCTTGGCCAGATGCCTAGGCTGAAGAAAAGTGAGGCTGTCGATTTTCCCATAGGACAAAACTAAATGTGGCTGCAGCGAGGGCTCTCGTTGCCTTTGTCCTGGTTAGCAGACCTCCTTTTCTAGCTTGCAAGTTGGGCTCCTAGCTATTGTTCTTTCCCAGCTACGGATCTCAAACAGGAAGAGTTTGAATAATTGCCCCTGTTCTTCTAGCCAAAGAATCCAACTTCCAGCCAAGTCTGTATGCGGCATTGTATGCAAATGTGCTTTTTTCTTTTAACCTTCGGGAACAAATCTCCTCCTGGGTAGAAGACTGCACCGTGGTCTGGATGACACTTTTGTAGAAGGCAGGGTAGATTTGCATCTTATAGAATAACCTATATATATATATATATACACATATATATATATATAATACATATATAGGACATGTATATATAGCACAAGCTTTCGTGAGTGCATCAGCAACTGAAAAAGCTGCTCCTGAAGATGCACGAAGCATTTAAAACAAATATTTGTAATCCTAATGCAGCTGCTTTAAAGTTCACTGAATAGCAGCAAATCTGCGTCCCAAAGTCTGTCTGTTCAGAGGTGATCAGCCAGTATCTTTAAGAATTGTGCCTGCATCGTATATATTGCGTTTGCTAAATCTGTGGCTTGATAAACTTCAGGCAGGGGCGCTCAGCTGTGATTGTTTGGCCATCACATGCTTTTTTTTCCCCTCCTCTGCCTTTTGATTGGATGAACATGCACACGCTTCAGCCAGGAATATTTCCACATAGTTTGGAAATGGATTTTTCCCATTTTTTCCCCAGCAAGGCTAGAATACCCAAATACTCATGGCACGTGAATACAAGGTGGCTGTGAACATGGCTGAAATGCATTTAAAAAAAATAGTTGAACAGATATTAGTAAAACACCTTTATCATTATTAACAACCACCACAATTAATAATCACCCAGCTCCAAATGCTTTTTTCTCGGGGAGGACTGTGGGATCCAGGCCTGATCCAAAGTCTAGCAAAGTCAGCGGACGTCCGTGCTCTTTGGATCAAGCCTGTTCTGTGTGGCACTGATGCGCCCTCTGATTTCTGCTCTCTGCTTTTTAGTCCCTCATATTCCTGGTCCGGGACTGGAGTTTCCCTTACGAGTTTTCCTACGGATCTGATGGCGGTGCAAAATTTTTGGAGAAACGTCTTAAGGTTTGTTCCGTATTTCCCTGTGGTTGTTGATGTGAACTTGCCCAGATTGTATAATGGTATAACTGGGCCCAGCCAGCGCTACAGAGCCAGGGCGCTGGGCTGGTTGTGGAGATGGCTTCAAGAACGAGTGGGAAGATCCTGCTCCCTCTCCGTGCAGGGGGCTGCTGCTGCTGCTTTCCATACCCCGCTGTAGGCACTGTCTGCAGACTGTAGTCTTAGATCTTGGTACTGCAATGGGTGGGAGAGAGAGGCATAAGGTCCCATGGAGGAATGGAGAAGGGAGTGCAGAGCACTTGGCTGAGTGACGCCCCGGTCTCTCTCACTGAGAGACAGTGTACACGCTCAGGATGACACTCTGTGTCACTGCAAATGCATCTGATCCCCACCCAGAGCTGTTATCCAATGCTGCCATGAGCAAGGGGCTTGCATCTTCCTCTGACATCTCCAGGAGCATCAGGAATAGCCTACCCTGTCCTAAGCCTTGGCACGCATCTGCCTTGAAATGTAACCACCTGCACTCCCTAACACACCCACTGAGGGATGAAGGCCTTGGTGGAGATAGAATCATAGAAAAACATAAAATCTTAGAAAACAAGGCTTGGACAGGACCCCAGGAGGCCACGTCTAGTCCAACCCCCTGCTCCAAGCAGGACCAGCCCCAACTAGATCAGCCCAGCCAAGGCTTTGTTGAGCCAGGCCTTAAAGACCTCCAAAATGAAGATTGCACCACCTCTCTGGGTAACCTGTTCTTGTGCTTCACCACCCTCCTAGTGAGAAAGTTTTTCCTAATATCCAACTTAAACCTCCCTTGCTGCAACTCAAGGTGCCTTGGTAGAGGCTGGATCTTGTAGAGCGGCAGCTGAAAGGCAAGTGGTGTGACAGCAGGGAGCAGAGAGGGGCATCCTGAAAATAACTGCCTGGCCTGCTTAGTTCCTCCAGCGCGGGGATGTCCCGGCTGGTAGAGACCAGTGAGATCCCTCTATAGTCTGAGAAGCATTAATTAAAACCCACGTGGAACCACTCGGTGCTGTCCTCTTCCTGCATCGAGATTGCTGCACGCTTCTGGGCGGGGAGGTACAGATGATCTCATGACCAGGATCATTTTTCAGGACTAGCTGCTTGCATGATGAACATGATGGGAGCAGGCGCTAGGAGGAGTACTCAGGAGGGTTTGGTAGCGGAAATAATGGAGCAGGCCTAATTCAAGGAGATGCCAGGAAGCCCCTGATGTGACGTCCTGAATGCTTGTGTATTCCAGGCATACTCATGCATGCACGTTTTCAGAGGGCAATGATGGGGTCCAGGGCAAGTGGTCAGAGCCGTGGCCATGTGAAACTTGCAGAAGTCTCCTTCTGAGCACAGCTCTTCCCATACGGCTCCTTCCTCCCTTGCGCAGTCCCCGTAGCGCGCACCCCGCGTTTCAACCGATGCTGTTGCTGGCGCGGTACTTGCGTCCCCTCCGCCTCACATGCAGACGTGCTGACTTCAAGCTGCTCTCTCGCAGGTCTCGGGAAATCAACACGAAGAACTGCAGAACGTCCGAAAACACATCCACTCCTGTTTCACAAAAATCTCCTGCTTCCTGTTGCCTCACCCTGGCTTGAAAGTAGCCACCAACCCAAATTTTGATGGAAAACTGAAAGGTTTGAAGGAAAATGATCTCTCTCCTTTCGGACACTTAACCTGATCGTTTGCGTTTGCATTTGAATGTCTGCTCTACATGCAGCGGCAGAGGATCCCATTATCTCCTGAAGTCCTGAGATATTTTCAGGAAAGCACTATTGAAAGCAAATGGAAAGGCATTGTCAGACTCCAGCCAACAAGCTGCTCATGGCCAGAGAAGCTGTTGGTTTTAGCCTTAAAGAGGGGATGTGTGAGGCATTGCCAGTAATGAATAATATGATAGTGCCCTAGCTAGACGACTGAGCATGAGATGATATCGGGGAAGGCGAGGCTGAGAGTTGAATTTTTATGGCCACGTGGCTGTGCCTGTAATTAATTCACACTTTGTATTGGTAATGCAATGCAGACATAGATTTGCAGGTACAGTTCACTGTGGGGGGCAAGACTGCTCAGAAAAAAAAAAGGAAGCCCATTTGAAACAGAGAGATTTCACTCTGAAAAGCTTTGCAAAGCAACTTTTAGGTTAATTGTTCTTTGGGGCTGTGTTGCCTTTGCTGTGAATCTGCTGGTCAGCCACATACCCACTGCTGAGCTCTCTTGGGAGTGAGGAAAACACCCCTTTCGCTTCAGACGAAACAAGCAGAACAAGCACTGAATTTCTCCACCCCCAGACTGTTGTTCAGCTCTTGCTTCTGGCAAAGTATGGGGCCCACAACAGAGAAACCAGTTATCTAGTAAGGCCATTATTCTCCAATACAGTGGTCCCCAACCTATAGCTTGCGGCCAGTACGTTACCTGCAAGACCCACTAACTTTGCTCCTACCTGCAGGGAATTGTGCTTTTCATGGATGCACTTCCTCAGGTCGCCATGGGAAAGCAAAGTAGCACACTGCTTGCAGTGCTTCTTCCTCAGGATGGCTGGCCATGGGCCGGACAATGATCTTTCCCAGATTTCCCTCCAAGTTTAACTTCAGGAGCCTACTAGACCATCATGCTGGCTATGGAAAGACTCAGCATATGGAGCATGTAATAGCCTCTTAATACCAGTGCTCTTTTCCTTCAAATGCTCTCTCAGGTCTGTTAGAATTAATCATAACCTTTCCCTTTTGTTACCCTCTCCATGCCCAGACACAGTGCATTAGCTTCCACCTTCTGGTTTCAGGCCATTTAATATGAATGGTAGTAAATATACCATGGACATTTTTCTACCTTGAAGTGTCTTGGCCATGCAGCAACTCCATCTGCATCTGTCAAGGTGGTAAAAGCGGCTCATTGGCTTCCAGCAGCTCCATCAGGGCTGGTGGAGATGGCGATGAGACCAAAACTTGCCCAGTTTTGTTGCCTCTTGCTAATGCTTTGCCCTACTGGAGCCTGCTGCAGATGAGAGTGAAGCTTTACTCAAAATACGACAGCCATGTAGCAATATAGCTACCAGGTGCTGAATTTTGCAGTAAAAATACCACCACCAAGCAAGACTTGGTAAGAAACCAAGGAGCTATATCATGTTGCAGGCCTGACTGGTACCTTTAAGATCACAGTGATGCCACTGGCTCCATCTGATTTGTTGTATTAGCACAACACTAATGTATTAGAAGATACGTGATCATCATATACATGATCATGTATTAGATGATCTACTCGGGTCCCTTCCGACCCTAGAAACTATGAAACACTTCTGGAGCAATGGTTTGGAGATACATAAGCATCTCTGTTTAATAGATGTTAGCATGGAGGCCTACAGCTAAGGGGTCCCTGTGTTCTCATATATCGATTGGATGGGTGTATTCCTAAAAATGACTTTGGGAAGCTGCGGATAAAAAATCAGCACTGAGGTGCTCAGAGGGTTCATCACGAGAAGACGAGCCCGTGTTTGAGCAAAGGCCTTGTTAGGTAGCGGTGTATGAGAACCTTGCTCCTTCCCAATGTAGCCAAGGCACTTAGTAAGGAGGACAAATTGGACCCATCTGCCAGTGGCAGGGACTATGAGAGAAACCCGTGTTGTCTAATGTAAGAGGATAAAACAAGCGCATTAATCCATGTACAAGAGCTCCCAGCCTGCAGGTAGCCTGAGGGTGCCACTACTTTGAAATATTCATATGCAGTATTTTAAATATGCAGTGCACATCCGAAACAAGAAGCCCATTGCTGAGACAGCTCCTCAGTTCGTGCACTCGGGAGCCGGGATGGAGAGTTCTCTTTCTTGTAAAATTGTGGGCTATAAGGCTGAAGGCTTGAGACGCAAGTGCTTTTAATCAAAGAGCCTGAGGAGAGGAAGGAGATGGGCATGGCATTTCCACACCTGTTGGCAAGAGCACAAGCTGCCTCTATACATATCCTGAAGAGCAGAGTGTGCGGCTGCCCATGCACCGAGGGTCTCCTGCCAAGTTATTCAAAGTGAATCCCTCTGCTTTTTCAAACCTGGGCAGCTTTCCACCAGCAGAGGTGTTAGGGATAGCAGGAATACCTTTGGGATTGGGGGTGGCGTGGCGTTGAAGACCAAGGAACCAGTCCAGTAGTTGGCTTGCTTTTATTACCAAACTACAAACTTGCCCAGTAAACCATGCCACACAGCACGCAAGCGCAGTGCGAGTGGGTTAGGAAGACCTGAGTGCTAGGAATCCCTGTATCCGCCGGCCGGCCAGGCGGCGAGGACATCCCGGGGAATACTTCCGCAGGATGTTACCTGGGTGCTATGATGCGAATTTCTAATACCAACTTGCTTGGGCGCTTCATATTCTATTATTGCTGTGGTTTTGAGAGTGCTGGATGAGCCAATCACATTTCACAATTCAGTCTAAGTTCTACGAATTTATGCATGGTTGCCTGGCAACCTTTGGGGTCACTCGCTGAACTGACCAGCATCTAATCATTTTGCCTGTTTATGTGCCACCTGCACCACGTGGTCATAGACCGTTTCCTTTAATGTTGGTCAAAGTCTGAGTAGTGTCCACACCAAAGTCTGCACCGCATCCTCGTGCAGCTCGCTCACTGCCAGGGATTACAAATCAGCCACAACATTGTCTTCGGAGATGCACGAAATAGCTAATTCCTCATATTAAAGCACAGATAATCCCCTTTTATGCTACAGGGGGATGGACATGTGTGCAACTTGTTGCAGGTGTAGAGGCTGGTTTGGAAATTTGGCTGTAGCCGTGTGCGTGGTAGCAGCACAGAAAGATCATTGCTGCTGAGGGCAGACCTCATAGGGACACAAAGCATTTCCATTTACATCCTGGCTGGGGTCACCCACCTGCCTTGCACAGGGTTGTATCGTGAAGCATGAGTCTGACTATGGCCCTGACCTTGGGTTTGCTTGCAGAAATAGATGAAGAATTCATCAAGAACTTGAAGGTGTTGATCCCTTGGCTGCTTGGCTCCGATAGCCTGGACGTTAAGGAGATCAATGGAAACCACATTACCTGCCGGGGCCTCGTGGAGTATTTTAAGGTACGGTCTCCTGAGCTATGCGACGTTTCAGGGACTCAGGTGGAGCAGCGTGCACTTTCTCCCCCTCTTCAAAATGAGACATGACATAGGGTGGACCAGGATACGCTGTCTGGAGAGGATACGTGCCCTCATTTCAGGTCCTTACGAGGCTCCATTATCATGGGCTCCATGTGCCTCAGTTCTGGGGTATATTCATCCACGCACATCCCAGCTAACCTCACTGGGCAGAGGGGGAACTGAGGCAAAGAGGGGGTGTCTACACTGGTGCTTGGGGTCAGCCCAAAGGTCATCCTCAAGCCCATGTCCGCTGACTGACTTAGATTGCAACCCCTTAAACTTGTCCCTCTGCTCTCGGTCCAGCTGGACCTGGAAGCTGTGGAGCTTCAGGATCGACCCGGAGGTGAACCCTGCCCTCATTCCCCACCTCTCCTACCCCTCCTTATGGTGCGTTTGGGTGT